CACCAGAAAGACAGAGAGAGACAGAGAGGCAGAAAGCGACAAATCATCCCCCAGGGGGGGTGGCCACACCGCAATCCCTTGTCCTCCAATTCTCTTCCCAGGATCTTGGGCACAAAACGCACACATGCCCAGTGTGACTTTCAAGCCATCAAGTCTGGGACTTGTGCAGTGGTCAGCCATGTGAGAGTCCTGCCATCTGCTGGCCCCAATAAATAATTTTTTAAAAAAGAAAAGGAGTCTAAAACTCTAAGAAGGACAAATAGCATTCCCAGAACACTGACCTTAGAAAGAACGGAAATCTGAAGCCCAGGTGTGCTACAAACTTGTCAACCTTGGACAGGTTAAGCCAACCATTCTGAGCTTCGGCTTCCTTATAAACTGGGGGTGATAAGTACCACCACCTGCGTATGCAGAGTACCCAGCACCGTCAGCACTTAACAACCGGTAGGCGGTGTTAGAAGCTAATTAGGCTCTTCCATGTGAGGACCGAGATCGGGTAAAATGTCTGGTGACTAATGTGGAAAGACATTAGTGGCCACCTGCTAACACTATTCCCAGAGGAGAACACGCACACGGAGGCCACCCAGCCTGATGACATGTACTAGGTATGACCCTTCTGTCTAACCATTACGAAGGTCAGGCTGAGGAACTACACGATCTATTTTCTAGCTTTCTGGCTGTTTTGTCACTGTACCTACAAATGCTACAGACACAGAGAGTTTTACACAAAGGCAAAAAAAACAAACAAACAGTTAGTGGGTAGAGGGAAGAAAGGGAAGAATAAAGACATGTTTGGTGGGAAAAAGTGCAGGAAAATGTAAAATGTAAAAAGCAGTGAGGAAATGCGTGGTCTCCAAGCTAACACAGATGCTAGTCCAATTTTCCAAACAGCTAGGCCTTTGTCTTAATGTGCACTTATCAGAACTTTCATAACATGGAGCTTAAAGCTTTGGAAACACTGAGATTTAAAAGAAAGCCCTCCAGGGGCCAGCAGTGATGTGACGGTTAACCTGCGGGATTCCCACATGGCTGACCACAGTTCGAGTTCTGGACCCAGCGGCTCAAGAATCACTGCTGGCATATGTGCGTGCATACCCAAAACCCCGAGGGAAGAATGGAGGAGAAAGGACTGCAGTGTGGCCATCCCCTCTGGGGGGTGGTTTCTCACTTTCCCTCTCTGTCTCTCTTCTCCAGCAGCACAAACACCCTATGACAAAAACCAAAAATAAAACAAAAAAATAAATATTTAAAGAGTGAATGTGAATATGAAAGACTTAAAGATAGTTTAAAGAACAAATACTGGGCTCAGCAGATTGTGTGGTGAAGGCACTGGACACTCCCACATGGCTGACCATGGTTCGAATACCGGACCTCATGGCTTGGTTTTTCTCTCTTTCTCTGTCTCTGTCTCTCTCTGGTCAAGTTAAAATAAATGAACGGATAAATAAAATTAAAAATTAATTATTAAAAAAAAGAACAGGGAACCGGCAGTTAGCATAATGGCTATGTCGCTGGACTCCCATGTAGTCGACCGCGGTTCGTGTCCTGGACCCGGTAGCTTAAAACTCATGCCGGGCATGTGTGCGTGCGTACCCAAGATCCCAAGAGGAGAATGGAGGAGAAGGGATTGCGGCGTGACCATGCCCTCTGGGGAGTTATTTCTCGCTTTCTGTCTCTCTGTCTCTCTCTGTCTGTCTGGCGAGCGCATGTGCCCTATAGCAAAAAAGAACAAATACTTTGGGGGCCAACCGATGGCATGGTGATTAAGCCACTGGACTCCCACATGGCCGACTACAGTTTTGGTCCTGGACCTGGTGGCTTGCTTTCTTATTTTTCCCCTCTCTCTATGATGAATATTTTTTAAAACATTAATTAACTAATTAAATACATAATTCTTTTTAAAAAGAAGGAAAGAAAGAACAATACTTTTGAACTCACAGACAAGAAGATTCAGAAATAGCTAGAAGACTTTGCACGGATAGAAAGGATTATGCAAAAGGAAAATACTGACCATCTGTTAGCCCTCTCCAGTGAAGAATTAAATGGAAGGAAATGGGCTCGATTGTGGAAGATGATCGCTCTAACGGTAATGGTTATTAAAAATAGAAATAATTTACTAAGGGACATTATGGAATTTCTTCCCCTGGAAATCTTTAAAAATAGATTCGACGTCCATTTCTCCTAAGTACAGTGGAGGCTTCCTGTTCCTGAAGCACATCCAGGAAGCATGCAGGACGCTCTGCTATGCTGTTTCTCACTCAGCGTCCACCGAGGGGCACAATCCACAAAGAATTCAAGCTGCTCTCTCAAACCAGACTGCAGTCAAGCAGAGAGGTACTTGCTGGCCCAGGTGGGAGCCCGTATACCTGCACTCACTTTGGAGTTTTGTTTCGCTGTTTGTGATAAGAGAGCATCTCAAGAAAGGGCCATGTGCAGAGTTCTGGGGGAGTCCCCTGGAATATGCAAGCAAGAAGGAAGGCAGGCCAGCAATTGCCCTGGCCTGCCAGGTATGATAGCTACAGGTGTGCCTGTGGTATGACTAACGTTTTTCTTGCCGAGGTGAGAAATAGAACACAGGACTATTTTTTTTTTTTTTGAGAGGTTTTCACTATAGGGCGCGTGCACTCTCCAGACAGACAGAGAGAGACAGAGACAGAAAGCCAGAAATCACCCCCAAGGGGGGATGGTCACGCCACAATCCCTTCTCCTCCATTTTCCTCTCGGGATCTTGAGAGAGAGACAGAGACAGAAAGCCAGAAATCACCCCCAAGGGGGGATGGTCACGCCACAATCCCTTCTCCTCCATTTTCCTCTCGGGATCTTGAGAGAGAGACAGAGACAGAAAGCCAGAAATCACCCCCAAGGGGGGATGGTCACGCCACAATCCCTTCTCCTCCATTTTCCTCTCGGGATCTTGAGAGAGAGACAGAGACAGAAAGCCAGAAATCACCCCCAAGGGGGGATGGTCACGCCACAATCCCTTCTCCTCCATTTTCCTCTCGGGATCTTGGGCATGCACACACATGCACCCAGCGTGAGTTTTAAGCCACCGGGTCCAGGACGCGAACTCCGACTACGTGGGAGTCCAGTGACATAGCCATTACGCTAACTGCTGGTTCCCAACACGGGACTATTACGGGTAGAAAACAACTGGATTCTCAAGGTGCCTATGCAGAATGCCCTGCCAAACAGAAAGCTACAATGATCTGAAGCCCATCCTCGTCTCTCCCCAGACAAACAGGACTGAGCACCGAGCTCTGCAAGCCTGGGGTAGGACAGCAGCTGGACTTTCTCCTCTGCCCGGCACAAGCAGAGGCACCAATCTGCTTAGAGCATAAGAAATGGGCAGAGTGGCCCAGCCACTGCGGTATACAGTGGGAACACGGCACTCGGCAACTTCAGCTCCGATCCCTGGGTCGGACCGAAAACACTCCAAGTGTGTGCATGGGTATCCGGATCCTGAGGCGAGCTGGAGGGCTGGGTAAAGGGGATGGCAGTGTGATGAGATGACACTGAAGGTGTCTCTCTGAATGGCTCTCATGTGCACACACTACCATAAAGGAAAAGAAATGGGAAGACTTACCGAATCCTCTAATTTCTATGATTCCATGAAAATCACTACAAGGCTGCTCTAAATATTGGGTAGTATCTCTAACGAGTGAACGAACTGCACTTGGGATCCAAGGTACAGAGCTTCAGACAGTGTGTCGGAGGGGTTTAAATGAGACTCTGGCTCAACTGAACAGCAAGGAGAAGCAATTGACGGAAGGAGCATTTCATACAAGACGTGCTCTAATAGGAGATGAATTCTTCATGCATTTCCAGCAGAAATGCAAAAACGGTGTGAAACCATTTCCTACTAATCCCCACTTGGATGCAAGCTCCGCAGGAGAGCCTTGTCAAAAAGCAAAGCCCCACCTCAGGGCTTCTGTTAGACCAGAAGCACCAGCAGCACACAGCTGTCCCACCCACTCCTCATCGAAAACCACGGCCAAAACCTTCATCCCGATGCAATAGTGAGCTTGCCTCAGGTGTGCTAACGCAAAAAATGCTTGTAAACCAGAAATATCTCCAGATTTTCTATAGAGGGACTGTAATCAGATTAGATGAGAAGGCCAAATAAACACAACTTTTTTTTTTTTGAGAGAGAGGTTTTTCACTATAAGGCGCGTGCGTTCGCCAGACAGACAGAGACAGAGAGACAGAAAGCGAGAAATCACCCCCCAGAGGGGATGGCCACGCCGCAATCCCTTCTCCTCCATTCTCCTCTTGGGATCTTGAGCACGCACGCACATGCGCCCGGCATGGGTTTTAAGCCACCGGGTCTGGGACGCCAACCGCGGTCGACTACGTGGGAGTCCAGCGACATAGCCATTACGCTAACTGCTGGTTCCCAATACAGCTTTTTCAAAACTGTGTTTTCAGAATAACGCTACACATACATAAAAATAACAGTTACCTAAGGAAGTTTTATTCGCATTTTATGTAAGACTGAGAGAATGACCCTTGCTGCTAGCAGTGAATATTATTCCTATTGTTGTTACTGTTACAATTACTGGGGTGCTTTGAAAGTCCTGATGGGGATACAGAAGGGTGCCAAGGCCACTTCTGTGAATCAGGGCCTCCAACTGCCAATCTTGAGACCGGCTGGAATGAGGCCTGCAATTTGCAGCCTTGGATGGAGTTTCTTTCTGTGCAGAACTAACTGATCCTCATCACCATGAAATAAACAAGTCTAACATCACCAATACTGCATCCCAGCCATCCCAGATGGTAGCTTAATAGCCTGAAAGAATTAATAGCACACCTCTAAGCACATTATTCACCCAGAGAATAGTTTAGGCAATGGAAGGAATCTGGCCCATTATACCCCCACACAATTGCTAAATAATATGCAATCACAGAAATGAAGCATGGCATATGGTAATCTCTCTACTATATTGAGATTCATTGTAATAAAAGTACTGTTCAAAACCCTTGTAGAAATTTGAAAAGCATACCTTTCTTTTCTGGAAGAAACATTACAATAAGACAAGCCAGTCCTCCTAGGCACAGAAATGCCGCTAATGTCCGCTTCCGACCAAACCTAAGTAACAGAAAAAATTCCACATTTCTCTTAAGGATCTTATACAACCATCTGCTTTGTCCTCTCAACTCTCCTATGTAAAGGTCTTCAGTTTCATTATCCATTTCCATCTTTTCTTAAGGCATAGGTGGCAAATGTGGCTGATCAGGAGACTAGAACATAAACGTCATAAAACAAAGAAAAATCGACTAGATGGCAGGGCTAAATGATGAGTATGTGGGAAAAGAACACTGACTTACATTTTACCTATTTCTGTGAGTGTTAACTATGTTTCAGGCACAGTCTTAAATACTTTCCATCTTTTATTTTTTTTGAGAGAGAGAAATTTTTGCTATAGGGTACATGCACGTGCCAGAAAGACAGAGACAGAGAGACAGAGAGACAGAAAGCAAGAAACTCCTGACTCTGGACAGTGGTTGCCGGGAGACAGGAAAGGTTTCAAGTCTTCTTTTCCACCTCTTGCTTAATTTCGCAGTAGCAAATGCCTTTCAAGTGGCATGCACCACATGAGGTAGGCACTAGGGACGCAGACACGGGATACCCCCATAGACAGCTTCTTTGAAACATTTTTTTAAGGGGGCTGTCAGAGGTACACCCAGGAAGCTATAGCAGCAAAGGAAGAAGTGGGGATGTTGGGGAGGTTTCTATATATGATTACTGGCCCAGCTCTTGCACCACGGGGAGCAAGCTGCAGTTCCTAACGCAGCCATCAGCAGAGGTAATAGGAACCTTCAGGAAAAGTCTTCAGAATCCCTTATCAGAGGCCAGCAGACAGTGTGGAGGTTAAGGCGGCTGGATCTCACATGGCCAACTGAGTGGTTCAAGTCCTGGATCTGGCAGCTTGAAAAATATGCTGGGTGTGTGCCCAAAACCCCAAAGAAGAAATGGAAGAAAATTATTGCAGCATGGCCATACCATCCTCCTTAGGAAGTGCTTTCTATATCTCCCTCTCTCTGTCCTCTCTCATACCAGTTCTTCGAAATGCTCTAAGCTAAAACATCGTGAAGACGCCTATTTTAGGTTAAGATGATGATTTCTGGAGAATGGGACGTGGCACAATCCAACTGATTGCTAGCTCACACAAAAAGAGGTTTTTAGTTGCTTTGGTCAGGGGCCAAATAGCAAAAGAAATCTAAAAAAAATGAAGAAAAGGTGCTCTATAAAATAAATTTTAGGGCTGGCAGGTGGCGTGGTTGTTAAGGACACTGGACTCCCACATGGCGACTGTGGTTTGAGTCTCGGACCTGGCCGCTTACTTTCTCCCTTTTTTTTTTTTGTCTCTCTCCCTCTGGTCAAATTAAAGATAAATAAATAAAGTTAAATAAAATAATTCTTTTTTTAAAAAAAATAACTTTTAGAGCCAGCCAGTGGCATGGTGGTTAGGCAGCTGGATCCCACATGGCCAACTATGCAGCTGATTCCTGGACTCAGCAGCTTGAAAAACATGCTCAGTGCACATGCGAGTGCATGCATGTCTAAAATCCCAAGAGCAGGACAGAAGAGAAGAGACTGTGGCATGGCCATTCCCCGGGAGTGTGTGTGTGTGTGTGTGTGTGTGTGTGTGCTTTTTCACTACCCATCCCTGTATCTCTCCAGCAAGTGCGCACACCCTGCAGCAAATAAATAACTTTTAAATTTTGTTGCAAAATGGTGCCCACAAACAATGAGTAGCAAAAGCAAGATATATTGTTCCCCTTAAAGAACAAAATAGGTCTTAGAAGATAAAGAAAGCCTTTCTAAGTCCTTCAGTTCTTTGTCTTCCTGTAGTAACATCTAAATATTACTAATTAGGTTTATAGAGTTTAATCTACATAGTGCTGAAAATCCCAATTCTTGGAACTAACAAATTACATGTAGACTATTCAAAAATCTTCAGATGTAATATTTAATACCATCTTGGACTTCAATAATGGATTAAAACCTACATAGAAACTCATAAACATGAAACAAGAATACGGCACTGAAAAAGGAATTCTGGCGCCAGGCACTGCTGCGGAGAAAATGCACCTGGGCTCCTGGAGGAAGGGTCCTGAGTTTGCACCCAGGAACTCCAAGCCCTCTAAGCACACACACATCATCATGACCAAAGCCGACTGGGCCTGGGGTAGACCATGCTGTGTGAGGACCCTGTTGCAGCGTCTATCTCTTTGTCACTCTCTCTTTTTCATGGAAAATAAATAAATAAGTGAACCTTAAAAAAAAAAAAATAAAAAGGCCTAACTGTATTTGGTCTCACTGTAACTAGCAGACGACAGACAGACTAGGGACTTAGGTACGTCACGCCCCAGCATATACGCACGCACATGAGTATTAGTACTCATCCATACTCACCATCTTTGGTTAATCAAGTAGATGCAGAGAGGATAAGAGGGGATCTCGATGAGGCCAGACAGGGCCAGGTTGGCATAAATACTTCCACCTAGATCACCTGCACTCAGAGTTAGGCCATAATACACCAAGCTGCACACGAACCTGCAATCAAGGGGGGAGAAAATAACAATGAACCAGAAGGTAAAAAGCAAGGAGGAAAACAGAAGAAGCTCATCAGAATTTGTCAGAGTTAGTTCAATATAATGTGATTTACTATAAGCAGTAAGCTTGACTCTCTCACCAGCCTTTCTATTTTAATCTAAATTTCCATGCTAGGAAGAAACAAAAAATAATGGGGCCTGAAAATGATTTGAGTTCTACCTACGCATTAGATGAAACGAGTGGATGGCCAGCCCCTGAAAGAGGAAAGGTGCTGTTCATGCTCTTAGAGGACAATGACCTTTTTCTCACATTTATTTAATTCAGCAGTTTGTGGGACAGTTGCCATAGGCACTTGTTGTGATATTAACCAAAGGACTCTAGAAAAGAACTCCCAGGCAGAAAGCCAGCAGGTGGTGGTGTTGAGAATGTGGGCTGAGAAGTGGTGGGGTCTTCAGAGGGTCACCTGCACACCAGAAATGACTGGGATGCCAGCTCCCTGGTCATTTGTTGCCGAAGTCTTAACCCTGTCCTGCTCTCAGCAGCAGGTGCATGTGCCATGGACACCCAGAACAGAACAGAAAAGACCAAGGGAGCAGCAGAGGGAGGACCACCGAAGAGAATCCAACTGAGGAAGGGCCCTCTGAAAGCCCATGAACTTCTTTATGCACACTCAGGGCCTCCTGGGGGGCAAGCCCTGTGCTAGGCACTGTGTCCTTCTGCAGGCCAGGAACTCAGCTGAAGTGCCAACCTGAGCTCCAAATCAGAGTGTTTTTCAGACAGATTGTAAGTGGTCATGGAGCCTTCTGTGCCTAGAAAATTGCATTGTTCAAAACAAAAAACAAAAACAGAACAGAACAAAGGGAAAGAAAACTCTGGAGCCAGGCTTTACTAGTGTATGAATACATCTGGTAAACCATAAATTCCTATACAAGGAATAAAACAGCTGGGTTTTTTAAGGTTTCCCAGTTTTTGTGCTTCTGCGAGTCAAGCTGACCACTATTTACTAAAGGGAGGTTCTCATTTACTTCCCTTTTGCTTTCCTTAAAGTCTAATGAGCTGTGTGTGTGAGAAGATCAAACAGGAAAGGAAAAGCTTTATTTACACCTCTACCAAAACACAGAAGTGCATCAAGGGCTCAGCGTCTATTAATAACAATAAATGCTGAACTAAGGGTCAGTGGGTGGCGTGGTGGTTAAGGCCTTGGACTCCCACATAGCCAACCATGGTTCAAGTCCCAGCAGCTTAAAAATCTTGTCAGGCACATGCATGTGTGCCCAGAATCCCAAGAAGAGAACGAAGGAAAAGGAATTGCAGCATGGCCACCCCCCTGAACAGGGGTGGGAGGAGGGGTAGTGCTTCCTCATGTTCCCTCTCTTTTTTTTTGGAGAGGTTTTCGCTATAGGGCGCGTGTGCTCGCCAGACAGACAGAGAGAGACATAGAGACAGAAAGCGAGAAACCACCCCCAGGGGGATGGTCATGCTGCAATCCCTTCTCCTCCATTCTCCTCTCGGGATCTTGGGCACGCACGCACACGCGCCCAGTGTGTTTTAAGCCACCGGGTCTGGGACACGAACCACGGTCGACTACATGGGAGTCCAGCGACATAGCCATTATGCCAACTGCTGGTCCTGTGTTCCCTCTCTCTTTGTCTCTCTTTCTCTCTCTGTCACTTTCCAGCAAGCGCACATGCCCTACAGCAAAACCTAAAAAAAAAAAAGAAAAAGAAAAAGAAAAAAGAAAAGACCAGCCCAGGCTATGGTAATGCAAAGAGAGGGACTAGAGGTTGGGAAGAGGAGACCCTGGGCCTGGACTGGTTACTAGTTCACCTCTCCCTAGCAAATGAGCCAGAAGCAGCAACTCCTCGTTACTTACTGAGATGGAGCTGCCACTGCCACTCCAAGGACCAGGAGTGGTGTTGTAGGCAGGCCATCATTTATAAGGTAACAGTGAGTTGTCTTGCCTTCTCTGGTCTTCTAAGTAACTTGCATGCGAGCAGCAGGCTAAACAAATTTAAATCCAGTTTTCTAAAATACTGTAAAAATCCTTTCCACCTGCAGGAGAGAGCTTCCTCTTACTTCTGCTATTTCCTAATGGGTTCTCTGTGTCAGTGTGTGTCTATTCTACATTTAAAATAGAAATCAGAGGCCAGCTCTATGAAGAAGCTGCTGGATCTCACATGCCAACTGTGGTTCAAACCCCTGCCCTGGTTGGCATGAAACAGGCTGGGCATGTGTGCAAGTACTCAAGGGCAGTTCTAAAGGGAGACTGGACCAATGAGGGAGATTGCAGAGTGACCAGAGCCTGAGAGGGTGCAGGGTGCTCTTCTCTCTCTTTCTCTCACTTCCTCTTGCACACACTCACAAAATCATGAATAAAGGAAGGTGTGTGTGTGTGTGTATATGTGTGTGTGTGTATATATATATATATATATATATATATATGTACATACACACACATTGTTGTGGTATTAACCAAAGGACTCTAGAAAAGATCTCCCAGGCAGAAAGCCAGCAGGTGGTGGTGTTGAGAATGTGGGCTGAGAAGTGGTGGGTCTTCAGAGGGTCACACACAAACACACACACACACACACACACAACTTGAAATTCCAGGGAAGTACTTCCTACTGTGAAAACACAAATATTTCAATCACATTGTGATGGTATCAATTCAGGGCAAGAATACACCAAGCCAATTCAGAACAATACAGGGATTTAGTTAGCTGGTGGTGAGAGGGAACAGGGAGAACAGGAGGCAAAGGAGGCCTCACCATCCCCAGGCTGGGTCTTTGCTCTGCAAGTTGCCTTCAGGACAGTGATGGTCATTGGGACCCGTAATTACAGCTGTTAAACTCATTTCTATCCTCTTTATAAGCCCCAAACAGAATTTTAAATGCTTGCATAACACTTCACAGTAAATTTAGGGGATCAAAGAGCTATTTTAGAAGGCACTATTGTGGGGAATAACCCAAGGAACAGATGTTAAACAGGTATAATTTTACTTCTCAGTTAAGGCTTTCTTCATGACAGATCCACAGCAAAGATTTTAGACTTTCATAGCATCTTCAAAAAGAACAGCAACATGGGGAATGACGCTGTCTCTACAATCATGTGTTTTAATATTCTGAGCCCAGGGGGATGAAGTTTATTTTGAGAAGCTCTCCTTTGGCTGTGTAAGACTTAAACAGAGACAAACTCCCAGGCCCTAAGTCTAGGTTTTCATATCTGCTGAAGGCCAGATCTCAGAGGTTAATATCCCCTTCCCCCAAAGAATGAAAAACATAAGTAAAAATAGTAACAGTAAATCCTCTCCAACAGGTAGGTGCTTCCTCTAAGGCAGGAGGTTTGCTTGACTGTGTATGTGATGTGCCAATGCAGGTTTCACGGAGCCCTAAGTCCACACTTTCTAAGTATTTGCTGTTGAATAAATGAAACCTCAGATTACTGATTCCTGAGCTGCCTTGACGGATTTGGCTTTCCAAGGTTCTCTTATTCTCCATGTCTCCAAGCTTGTGCCCATCATGTGGCATTTATAATGCCCGTGTGATTTTCTCAGCACTGTGCTCACTTCCATGGGGGAAGACAGCCATTGGTGCGACGGCCCCGACCCCATGGACGGCAGTCTGGGCTTGGGTAGGAAAGGAGAATCATAATATAGAAAAATATCTTTGTGGCTTCTTATTTTCAAGCTATTGCTCTTTTAAATTTTGTACATAAGATTGTGTCCATCTAAAATCACTTTCAGATGGTGGCATAACTTTCAGACAACTCTCTGTGAGGCTGAGGCCCATGGGAAGGTTCCAGGTTCAGGTCTAGAGACTTCCCTGAACAGGCCCAGTTTCAGTGCACCTGCACTGTGACCCAGGGCTGGCTGAGCTAGAGTAGATGACAATGTGAAGACCCTGTTGGGGGTCCCTGTCTCCCTGTTTATGGGAGAAAGAATAAATTTAAATTCTAAAAAAGGGGAAGCCAGCAGATGGCATAGCAGTTATACCACTGGACTCCCACATGGCTGTGGTTTGAGTCCTAGGCCCAAAACTGTCTTGAAACTCATGCTGGGCACGTGTGTATGTGTGCCCAAGATCCCAGAAGGAGAAGGGATTGCTATGAGCTTACGTGCTGTAAGGCAAAAAACCTTTTAAAAAAAATTTACAGAAAGGGAGATCTCACTTTCAAAAGTAAAATAAAATAATATAAAAAGATATAATAAAATCACTTTCCTTAGCCTCACATGAAAATGGTTAAGGTACTGGATTCCCACATGACTGACCAGGGTTCAAGTCCTGGACCCAGCAGCTTGAAAATCACAACAAATAAATAGATAAATAAATAAATAAATAAATGTTTAAAAGAAAAGAGAAGAAAATGTAGGTTTCTGTGCACCTTCATGGCAAATACACGTAAAACATAGTGTAACGGTCCATCGGGCCAGTCGGTGTGATAACCATGCCCAGTACGGGGCAAGGTAACTATGGCACCTGAGCAGAACGTTCATTAAAACACACAAGCAGGGAACCAGCAGTTAGCGTAATGGCTATGTCGCTGGACTCCCACGTAGTCGACCGCGGTTCGTGTCCCGGACCCGGTGGCTTAAAACTCACGCCGGGCGCGTGTGCGTGCGTGCCCAAGATCCCGAGAGGAGAATGGAGGAGAAGGGATTGCAGCGTGACCATCCCCCTTGGGGGGTGATTTCTCGCTTTCTGTCTCTATGTCTCTCTCTGTCTGTCTGGCGAGCGCACGCGCCCTACAGTGAAAATCTCTCAAAAAAAAAAAAAAAAAAAAACCACACAAGCAGCACAACGATAGTGTTCATCCATTTCTCCCCTTTCCACAACTTCCTTTAAATGGAACCACCTGGAACCACTGAGTATAACTCACTTCAATGTTGAGGGCATTCTGAGAGGCAGGCAGGAACACGCCATACAACTAGAAAGTCAGGCTTGGAGAGTCCAATCGGTCCGTTCGCTGATTTGCCTGTGTGCCTTTATTTCTATCACTTCAAAACCCAGGAATCCCATCCGTACGAGGGATGACATTTAGAGAGCTAGAGAGTGGGACTGTCACACCAAATTTACCCCAGATGGCCAACTCTGAAGCACAATGGTTAATGAAGTCAGATCCCACATGGCTGAGTGGTTCAAATCCTGGCCTCAGCAGATTGAAAAACATGCTGCAGTATGTGCACGTGTATCTAAAATCCTGTGAGGATGGGGAAATGGAGGAGAAGGGACTGTGGCACGACCAGGCCCCAGGAGGGTGCTTTCTCTCTCTTTCTCTTTTTTCTCCTCTCTCTCTCTGGTGAGCACATAAGCCCTCTAGCAATAAGAAACTAACAGTAAACTAAGAAGGAATAAATTTTTTTAAATTACATCACACAGCATTGGAATTAGAATGTGATATTGAATTGCCTGACAACAAAACCAGAGATAGGCATTTTTTTTTTCTTTTTTTTTTGGAGAGGTTTTCACTATAGGGTACATGCACTCACCAGAAAGACAGAGAGAGACAGAGAGACAGAAAGCGAGAAATCACCCCACCCAGGGGGGATGGTCATGCCGCAATCCCTTCTCCTCCATTCTCCTCTCGGGATCTTGGGCACACACGCACATGCACCTGGCGTGAGTTTAAGCTGCCAGGTCTGGGACTCAAACCGCAGTCGACTACATGGGAGTCCAGAGATAAAGCCATTATGCTAACTGCTGGTCCCAGAGATAGGCATTTTTAAAGTTCCATTTAGATACTCTTGTTTTTGCTATGCTTGCTTTCTTTTCTTTTTGGGAGGTGGGGCTTCCATATTTACATAAAATACCTCATGAGCAAAAATGTTTCGGATGTCTACTTACTTGAGTTCAATAAACAGCGCCATCAGACACCAGCATCTCCCACTTGAGAGACACACCCTGCTAAGGCAGGGCATGTACAGGCCCTGGTGCTTAAGGACAGGGACCTGTTTTGGGGAAAACAACCTCTTGCTGACAAAAAGAGGTAATGTTTTCTGTAACTCTGAAGAAGGAATGGAATATCAACCTGAGATGGAGGTCAGTCCAAACAGCCCTGAGCTATAATTACCATATGAACATCAGGATCAGAGTGTGTCCTAAGAGGATCCGGTAACGAAACAGATCCAGGAAACTTCCGGTCTCCTTGTAGCTCCCGTTGGCCGGATGTGTGAGTGAGAAAGTACACTTGAGCTTGCGGTTCCTCTTGGCAATGAGGTACAGAGCCTCTTCAGCCTCACTCAGTCGACCCTGGGAGTATAACCAACGAGGTGATTCAGGAATGAATCTGAAAGAGATGTCATTAAAGGCTGTATATTCATATCGGCACACGTGTATAGGAAGGAAACAAGTCACCCACTCAGGACGTGGATTCCCTCGCCACACCTGCATTCTGTGTTAAGTTTAAAGCGTGACTCTCGAAGCCAGCAGATGGCATAATGGTTACGTTGTCGGACTCCCAGATGGCCTCCCATACGGCTTGAGTCCCAGACCCGGTGGCTGGAAAATCACGCCAGGGTTGTGCGCACGTGTGTCTGAGATCTTGGGAGAATGGAGAAGGGACTGCAGTGTGATGATCTCCCCTGTGGGGTGATTTCTCACTTTCCCTTTCACTGTCTGTGTCTCTCTCTCTCTCCAGCAAGTACAAAAACCTCTTTTAAAAAATTTAAAAAATGGGGCCAGCAGGAGGCATGGTGGATAAGGCACTGGACTCTCATATGGCTAAGGTTCAAGTCTCGGACCTGGTGGGTTGCTTTCTCACTTTTTTTCTCTCTCTCTGGTGAGTGTGTATACCCTATAGCAAATTTAAAATAAATAATAATGGTATTAACGATAAAAATAAATAAATAATTCTAATTAAAAAAATGCTTGACTATCTTGGGCTGGCCCCATAGTCTAGAGGTTAAGGGAGCCAAATCCCACATGGCTGATAATGATTTGAATCTTGGTACCAGGAGCTTGAAAAACACACCAGATGTATGCATGCATATGTGCCCCAAATCCCAGTGGGATGGAGAAACTAAGGGGAAGGGATTGCAGGATGACCACAGCCAACTGGAGGGTGCTCTCTGTCTCTTTCTCTCTCTCTTTGGTGAGCACACGTGCCCTCTCACAATTACCAAAAAAAAAAAAAAAATAGTTGACTCTCTCAATGTCACCTGAGAGAGAGAGATTTGGCTCCTTCCATGGCATGCCAATGCTGCATGGTAGCCTACTTTCTCAGTGGGAATGAAGAACATGCTTTCCAAACAGCAGAAGACACGGTTAAATCTCATGATTTATTTTCACATAAATGTTAGTAAGTGAGTGACAAGTTAGGTCGACAGTAGTGAGAAATGCAGATTATTCACAAAGCGTGAGCTAGAGATACAGCTCTAAATCCTAGCTGAGTGCTAGCATAACACTGAAAAGATAATGTTTTTTAAGTTCGGAAAAAGTCTCACAAAGAAGATGGAAATCTCTACTGTCTCATCAGAAAAAACACATTTTTTTAAAACTGAGGGTTCTTGGGCCAGCATGTGGCATGGAGGTAAAGGCTCTATCTAGATCTTACATGACTAGCTACCCAGTTCAAGTCCCAGGCCCAGCAGCTTGAAAATCACACCAGACACAGGTGTGTGTCCAAAATCCCAAGAGGACACTGGAGGAGAAGGGACTGCATGTGGTCCACCCTGGGAGAGGGGTGATCTCACTTCCCCCTGCCCTTCTCATGGTGACATTATTGGGAAGTAGAGATTATTTTAAGGCTACACACAAAATGAGACAGAGTTTATCATATATTAGCTATTCTGGGGTGTTTACTGCTTCAAAATACTCTAACACACCTGACCCATTAGTTTTACTATATCCTGAAGATTTTTCTGATCTCCCAAGAGCTTTTTTTTTTAAGAGAGATTTTGCTATAGGGTGTATGTGCTCGCCAGAGAGACAGAGAGAAAGAAAGCAAGAAATCACCCTCCATGGGGGATGGCCACGCCACAATCCCTTCTCCGCTCTTCTCTCGGGATTTTGGGCATGCATGCACATGCATCAGGTGTGAGTTTGAAGCCACCGGTGCAGGATTCAACCACGGCCAATACATGGGAGTTCAGCAATGTAACCTTTACACCATCTGCTGGCCCTGATCTCCCAAGAACTTAAAACAGGTATTTTCTAGTTAACTTCTAGCTATAAAACAACAGTGATTGCCTAATATAACTACAAAGTGTAGGACAATGATATTGCCACTAATACCTTCAAATAATTTTGAGGCGAATATGATGCGTCATTTTGCTCTTCACTGTTCTACATACACTTTCAGGGGACTTTTCAAGACAAGACTATGGCAGGAATGGGGGACCTTTATTTGCTAAACATACCATCAAGTACTTTTTGATCTAATTTGACATTATCTGCCTAAAGAAAATTTGGATGAATAACACTGTCCATTAAGTTGCTTTTTAGAACTCTGTGTGCTTTTCAATGAGGAAAGTAAAATTAGCAACAAACATTACAAGATTCAGAATGTTTCCAGGCCGCCAGTCTGCCCACTGCCAGTTACTGAGCATTTCACCTTTGTACAGAGCAATGTAATATGTGTGAGAGGAAAGATGCAGAAAATAAAGGCAGGAATTTCCCCAAGAGTTTCATTACTAGGGAAAAGAACATGCATGTACAACATTTGATTGTCAACAAAGGCAGGAACAAGGCCATCTACAACACCCCTTTTTGTACTTCTTGCCATTTGATTATTATTAGTGACAGGCAGGTAAGTAACCAAATAAAGCACTGGTCTGCTGGAAGTGAGGGCTGAAGATGATCAGCAGGATCACGTGGTCCTATCCGCAGGGCCATCCATGAGCTACCATGTAACCGACCACACTTAGGTCAAAATACTAGTCAAAGGAACGTAAAAGAAGACCAGCATGTTGAATAATAGAGAAGCATGTGATAATAAAAATTAAAACTGAGAAGGATTAGGAAAAGTAAAAAAAGGACCAACAGGAAATCCACCAAACTACTTACAGTCGTCTTTGGGTAATGTATGAGAGGTCTTCATAAAGTTCCCCAAAAAATATGTATTATGAGAAATGAGGCACGGCTTTTGAAACTTTTTGTATCAAAGTCAACTTGTACCTTAATTCCATGTTTCTTGAAACTTTTTGAAGTCTCCTCAATAAGAAATTTTCTCGGCCCCTTCAACTTCTCTGTGTTTTCAGAATTGTTTATAATCAATATACATTACTTTTAAAACTTCATAAATTAATCATCTTTTTTTAATTGCCAGAGAGCACGTGCGCTTGACCGAGAAAGATGGAGAGACAGAGGGGGAGAGACAGCCAGGAAGCACTCCCAATGGTGTGTTGTCACGCTGCCATCCCTTCTCCATTTCTCCACCCTAGGTGGATTTGGGGCATGCATGCACATGCACCTAGCATGTCTTTCAAGAAGCCAGGGTAAGGAGTCAAAACACAGTTGGTCACGTGGGATCTGGCTCCCTTAACCACTATGCTGTAGAGTCAGCCCTATACATCATTTTAAAGATGATAGTGTCTTCTTCTTTATTATACGTGTTTTTGGAGAAATTTTTGTTATAGGGTGCATGCCCTCACCAGAAAGACAGAGAGAGAGACAGAGAGACAGAAAGTGAGAAATCACGCCCCCCCCCCCCAGGGGAGATGGCCACAACGCAATCGCTTCTCCGCCATTCTCCTCTCAGGATCTTGGGCACCCATGCACACGTGCCCGACGTGAGTTTAAGCAACCAGGTCTGGGACTCAATCCGTGGTCAACTACATAGGAGTCCAGCCACATAGCCATTATGCCAACTGCTGGTCCCTTAAAGATGATATATGAGAGATATTCAGGCTTTGGGAATCTGAGGCTAATTAGTAAAACTATTCCTACTTGGAAAAGGGCTTATTCTTCTTGATCATAACTTAGGACCTTATAGTTCCACATTGTGAGACCAGAATGCTTATTTACACAAAGGGTCAGGTATCTATCTGCTGTGGATGAATTCAGGAGTATGAGTTCACATACCTGTGGGTTATACATACAAAGCAGTAAGACATTTTTAAAAGAAAAAGCAGTTCTTTGAACTGCTACCCCACACAGCAGCATGGTAAACTGTGCCATGGTCACCTTCAGAAAAAAAAAAAAAAAAACTCAAAAATGTTCTGTGAATATCCTTAAAGGATATTACCTTTAATACAGCCATAAATTAAGAGGGCACTGATTTTTGGGACACAATAAAACTACTCAAATTCGAGTATTATGAAGAATTTTCAAGCGGGGTAAACATATTTCTAGCAAACAACACAGTATGACTGTGCATAATATGACTTCTGACGTTGCTAATGCTCCTGTGCCAACCGCTGTCCAGTGGATAGGAAGGCTCTACTGTGTGAAGGGCTCTGGGCACAGGTGCAGGGGGAAACGCACCCGTGGAGAAGTACACAGCCTGCTCTGCCCGCAGGCTCCCCGTTTAGAGAGGCGGGGCTCCGACATGGGGCAGAACACGGGGAGTCCCTTGGAGAGGATGGGTATGTGCTGTAGAATTCAGAAAGAAAATGACTTATAGCTGGGGGTAGGAACAGGAAAAGCTCGGCAGGTGGCATCTGAGCGGCCCAGATGGCTCAGTAGTAATTAGAGAAGAAGCAAAGAGGCAACGGGGAGCCGGGCACAGCAGTGGGCACAAACATGGAGTCAAAGAGCACAAATGCGCTCCGGGCACACGCAGCTTAGGGTGCCTGCGCAGAGTGTGGGGGTGGGATGGGAGAACACTAGGAAAGCCACCGGAGGCAGGCTATGGACGCCTCACACCGCGGGCAGAGTAAAGTTAGTGTGCGTTGAGATCCTCTGCCTGCCTCTCTGCTTTCTATCTCTGATGACTTGGACTCACCTCCCAGTGAGTGGACGTCCCACCTTGCACTGAACGGGAACTGTTAAAACTCGGACAACATGGGACCAGCAGTTAGCGTAACGGCTATGTCGCTGGACTCCCACGTAGTTGACCGCGGTTCATGTCCCGGACCCGGTGGCTTAAAACTCACACCGGGCGCGTGTGCGTGCGTACCCAAGATCCCGAGAGGAGACTGGAGGAGAAGGGATTGCGGCGTGGCCATCCCCCCTGGGAGGTAATTTCTCACTTTCTGTCTCTCTGTCTCTCTCTGTCTGTCTGGCGAGCGCACGCGCCCTATAGCAAAAAAAACCTCTCCAAAAAAAAAAAAACTCGGACAACATATTCAGAAAAGAAAAGCTAAGCACTTGGATCATCCACCAAAACCAAGCTACGACTGAAGAAGAGGTGAGAGCCAGACTGCACAGAGAAGTCTGAGGTGGATTAAATATTTAAACAGAAAATTCATTTATGCATCGATAATTATGAATGTATATTAATTCAAGATACTATACTAGGTACCCATTTATCACTTTTAAAAATTTATGATATGCAAGCTAAAAAAATACTGTTAGTTTCTCTAATAGAATTACTTCTAACTTACATAACTGAACACATTTAATACATTTTGTTTTTTAAATATAAGTTAAATATTTGTATATATATTTATGCTTAACTAGTCTGTTACTTTAATAGATAGTATGAAAATAAATTTCAGCTCAGTCTCCACCAAATTTCGATTTAGAATGTGAATGAAGAAGGGCTGGCAGGTTGTGTGGTGGTTAAGGGCACTGGACTCCCACATGGCCAACCGTGGTTCAAGTCCTGGACCTGGTGGCTTACTTTCTCTGTCTCTTTCTCTCTGTCTGACCAAACTGGAAAATAATAATAAAAAATTAAGAAAGTTAAATAAAATAATTCTTTTTTAAAAATGTGAATGAAGAGATACCAGATTAAAGAGCTCTCAGAATTAAAAGGCTATTACATGGGCTAGCCCCATAGTTCAGCTGTGGAGGAAGCTGGATCCCATATGATAGACTGCAGTTCCGATCTTGGCCCCAGTAGCTTGGAAAACATGCCAGGAACATGTGTGTGCATGTCTAAAAAAGATGGAGACGTGGGAACTGGCAGGTGGCATGGTGGTGGACTCCCACTTGGCTGACTATGGTTTGAGACCCAGACCTAGTAGCTTGCTTTCTCACTTTTCATCTCTCTCTCTCTGTTTCTCTCTAGTAAAATTTAAAAAAATAAAATAATAATGATAAATAAAATTAAAATAAATACTTCTTTAAAAGACAAAAAAATAAGATGATGAAATGGAAGAAAAAGGATTGTGGCATGACCATGCCCCATGGATGGTGCTTTCTCTCTCTGCCAGGTACATGAGCCCTTTGACCATTAAAATAAAATTGTCTTTTAACACTACTACAAGTTTCCTTCACTTTATGACACAAAAGAAAACTGGTACTATTGGCTGAAAATGTTGTTTATGCCAAAGAGCTTAATGATTAAAATTAGCGCTCTGTCACATACCACAGGGAAGAAGCCCCGTTCCTATGCCACACTAAAACTTCTGGTGCAGTGGGTGTAAGCTGATGGCTCACCTTGCATATCTGGGTGTTCTGAGACATTATGGTGTGACAACTTGGGCAGTTGTTGCCAGTACCCTGCCATGACCAGGGAATTCTCCTTCTGCTGCCTGGAGCCCACACACTATAGGGATTTCTCCTATATCTGAGATTCTTCCATGTAGAGGCCCTGAAATGATACACATCTGTCGGATGACAGTTGTGGTTCCATATTCAATGTGAATACATGGCTCTAAAGCTGTAGCACTAGCACATGACTTGGTCCACCCTGAAGATCTTTAGGATTCAGGTGGTAGGTTAAAAAAGAAATTGGTGGGGCCAGCAGGTAGTGTGGTGGTTAAGGAGCTGGACTCCTAAATGGCTAACTACGGTTCAAGTCTCAGACCTAGCAGCTTTCTTTCTTTCTCTCCCTCTCTCTCTCTCTGGTGAGTGCCCATGCCCTATAGCAAATTAAAAAATAAGGATAACGGTAAAACTAAATAAATAGGGGCCAGCAGGTGGCATGGTGGTTAAGGGCACTGGGCTCCCACATGGCTACTGCAGTTCAAGTCCCAAACCTGGAGGCTTGCTTTCTCACTTTCCCTCTCTCTCTCTCTCACTCTTGCTCTCTTTCACTCTGTCCTCTGGTCAAGCTAAGATAAATAAATAAATTTAAATAAAACTGTTCTTTTTTAAAAATTAAATAAATAATTCTTCAAAAAAATTAGTTCCCTCTGCCAACAATTTGAAGGTTAAAACACAGTTTATTGAGAGGTTACTTTAAACGAGGGATACCTGCATTCTGAATTAATTAAGCATCTCTCTTCCCAGGAGCTCCCAAGACTTGGAGCACGGGCAGAATCTAGTTCTTCACCAAAGTCAGTGCAGGAAAGCTCCTGAAAGGGAATAACGCCACTCATTGACCCGCAACCACTTGAGACATTCCTTAGGCTTATGAAATTAAACTTGAGGGAGAAAAACTACTTACAAAGATAAGAGAAAGACCACTGTTCCCTGCAGATTAACCAGGATAGCTAGGGTCCTCCAGGAGCGGATGAAGTATCCTAACAGGGCATATTGGGCAATGCCAACTGCAAAGAAGAGGCCGCCAATGGATCCTAATTCAGGGAAAAAAGAACTGTCACTGGAGAAAACACCATCGGTATCACCACTTCCAACCCCGAGTCACAGAGCCAGGTGCTCCTCATGGTATGTCAGCCCTCCCTGGCAAGTGTCAGAGACAGAGCAGGAAAGAAAAACAAACGAACAAAACACGACACACAAAAGATTGAGCATCAGACGTAGGAGAGGCCAGATCATTCGTGGAAATAGAGGTAGGACAGATGAAAAATACAAAGGCCATGTGGGCAATAGAGAATTTTAAGTGTTTGCCCAAATGGTTTTTCCATGAAACACCATGCTGACGTCAGTCTGAACCATAATCTTGTAAAGTTTTTTTTTTTTTTTTTTTTTTGGTAAATCCCTGTCCCTCACTGTCACTCTATAACAAAAGGTGACGACTTGTGTACTGTCTGCCCTGGCTAGGAAAGGAGAAGCCACAGAAAGATCTGATGAGGTAGCATGTTCAGAACATGTGGCCTGATTGTGATTTCCCTGGAAACTGGAGATAATCAACAGCTATTACAGGGTCATTACAGTGCATCAAACAGCACCTGCCCTCCCAGAACAAGGCTTCTCGTCATCGCTCAGGGCAGGTCCGAGCACTCGGTATCATTTGGCAGTGAGGTAGGCAAAAAAAATGAAAGAGAAGATCTGGAGAGACCATCTGCAGATCCTACTTAGATCTGCTGCCTTAGGCAAATCTGAGTCTCAGTGTTCTGAGTCTCAGAAATACTGCTACTTACCTTAAGTGGTAGCTTTTATTAGTTTTCAGATGAAATAATACATGTTACAGAAATGCTAGTTATATTGTTCTATGCAATCTGAGTTTAGCCCCTTATATCCGTTAATAAAGAATACACACACACACACACACACACACACACACACTCTGGAAGCTTCCTGTCATGTGTATCACAAAATGTTCTATTTCCTACCTAGTTCTCCTTTTGAATTCCAATAACATCCCTCTTCCGCTCTGTTGGATTCCCTTTACTCCATCTCTGTGGTTTAATGGGGGCTGCCCTCATAGCTGCCTAGAGGGGCCAATCAGCGTTCTCACCCAGAATTTTAAATACTAGACCTGGGGCTGCTGAGTCCTGTCCCAGAGAGATATTCTTGGAGAGGAAGGGTACAGAGATGAGAAGCATCTGACTGCTGGTTCTGAGCATCTCAGAGGCCTGGTTCTTCGTGGTGTGGTTATATTAACCACATGGTTTCCTTTTAGAAGTTCATTAGAGCTGAGTCTCTCCCCAGTCAGTAAGGCTCAGTATCACTTAGATAAGTACTGTGATGACATTACCCTAGGCAGAGGGTCTAGAGGACGATACTAGAAGGAAAGCCGTAATTTTTATTCCAGGTGTCAGCAGGGAGTCAGCTCAAGTGCAGTGTTCAAAAACTACAGATAATTGCTGGGAAATGTAAACAGGGATGAAGCATAAAGATGTGATAGGGCTCTAGGTTTTTTGGCCTAAAAAAATTAATAGAAAGTGAACATTTTAAATGACCACTTGTGCATATTGTATCTTCTGGAAGACCACATGTGGTTTTGTAACATTTTATGAATCTGTAGGTATTTATATCTACTTTTTTTAGATATATCTTGTACTTACTTTAAATTAATTTCAAGTCTGCTATTTCTGCTTGGTTTACATCAGTAAAAGCTAAATTTTGGCAGGTTAAAACACCATATGGGGACCAGCTATTGGCATAATGGCTATGTTGCTGGACTCCCATATAGTCGACTGCAGTTTGAGTCCAGGACCTGGTGGCTTAAACTCAAGCCGGGTGCATGTGCGTGCGTGCCCAAGATCCCGAGAGGAGAATGGAGGAGAAGGGATTGAGGCGTGGCCATCCCCTCTGGGGGGTGATTTCTCGCTTTCTGTCTCTCCGTCTCTCTCTGTTTTTCCGGTGAGTGCACACGCCCTATAGCAAAAACTTATCAAAAAAAAAAAAAAAAACAATATGTCATTATGATTCCATTTTTTATAAATGGCATCAATTTTCAACACGAGCCATGGAGTCTTTTCAAGTCCCCTCTGTCTCTCAACTCTGTGGATCCATCAACAAGTCATGTTCCCACCAAAATCCAACTTATGCCCTCTATCCTCCTTCCTCTCTCCCCCACTGTGTCTGAGCCACCACTGGGTTCCACATGGCCAATCAGAGCAGCCTCCTCATGACCCTCTCTGACCCAAAACACATTTACCAGAGCAATCTTTCCACAGGGGGAACCCTATTACTCCTCTATTTAATATGTCCCAAGACCTTCCCACTGCACTTCAAATAAACAGGCTCCTCATCAGCCACGATCATCTGTCCCTCCCACCCTTATCTCATGTCCCTCTTCCCTTTCTACACTCTAGCTGGGTCCTCAAAGCAGCTCTTTCCTGCCTCAGGGCCTTGTTCCTTGCCATTTTATCCAGCTGGAATGTTTTTTGCCCAGAATTTCACAGGCTTAGGTCTTCTCCATCATTCATACACACCTTTGAGCAAACACCTACATCAAGGTATTCTCTAACCATCCTGTTTAATGTAACTATCCCAATTACTGTCTAGTTTATTACCCTGTTAAATTTTCTTCAATCCACTTATAATCTTCTGAAGTTGTCTCATATTTGTTTTGTCTCTCTTAATTAGAGCATAAGCTCCAAGAGAGCGAGAGCTTTCTCCTATCCATTCCTGTCTTCTCCACCATTTTATCCAAAGTGCCTAAAAAAGGCAGCGTCTGGTTTATAGCAGGGCCTACCCAATAATTGAATGTTGTAGAATACATATTCAAGCAAATGGCCAGGCAGGCTGCACAGCGATGCATTAATTATGGTTGTGACTAAGTGAGGATTCCTTTAACTTGACTTGTATATGTTCCTTAATTTTAAAAAAAATTTTTTTTCTATTTTTGCCAGAGGGCTTGTACTCACTGGAGAGAGACAGAGAGAGAGGGAAAAGTGAGAGATCACACCCCTGGAAGGATGGCCATGCTGCAATCCCTCCTCTTTCATTCTCTTCTCAGGATTTTGAGTATGCATGCACACACACCTGGCATGATTTGCAGGTTGCCCGGTCTAAGACTTGAACTGCAATTGGCCATATGAGAGTCCATTGCTTTACCCAACATACCATCCAGTGGCCTTTGATTATTTGTTATAATGAGTACTGATTCTTTTTGTTATAAGAAAATATTAAGAGAAGAAAGCAAATCATGTGTTAATGTGGACTTTTGCATAGCTGAAACATTTTTATTTTGTGTTCCTTCGATTCTCAGTCATTTTCAGTCCAGTAGCCTCATCCGTCCTGTTAAGCTCTGCACTGCAAACTGGTCCGAAGTGGGTGTTCTCTATATACACAGGCTTTTACATGCAAATTCGTATACAATTTTATAGACAGAAATATTATGTTGTAATCAGGTATAAGCTATATCCGACAAATCCCATATTGCTAAACATTTAGTTTAGTTTTGATTTCTAGTTTCCTGCAGTTCACAAACACACGTGGAGCCACAGAGTGTGCAACAAGACTGTGCTGGAGTGAAACCAGTTTGAAAAGAAAGTCCATTGACAGAACTCCAGGGGAAATGTCCGTTCATGGGAAAAGGAAAAAGGAAGCTCCTTACAAGATTGCAGGTGCAACAAGAGCCTTCCATGAGTCCCAGGTGCAGGTCAGGGTCCTGACCTTCAAGGATTCTCTCACTCACTCAGAATTTCACATTGAGTTTAGCAACTAACTGGTTCCACTGTTGCAGTGTTTCTTTTTGTCTCGCTTTTCTCTTTTACAGAAATTTTAATAAACTCATCTTAACTCAGCTTCAGGGATAAGAATGGGAGGTTAAGGGATCAGTAGTTAGTGTAATGGCTATGTCGCGCTGGACTCCCATGTAGTCAACCGCTGTTCGCTTCCTGGACCCGGTGGCTTAAAACTCACTCCGGGCACGTGTGCATGCATGCCCAAAATCCCGAGAGGAGAATGGAGGAGAAGGGATTGCTGCGTGGCCATCCCCCCTGGGGGGTGATTTCTCGCTTTCTGTCTCTCTCTGTCTGTCTGGCGAGCACACGCGCCCTATAGCAAAAACCTCTCCAAAAAAAAAAAAAAATGGGAGGTTAAGTCACTTCAAAAGAAATCTTTTAACAGGCTTTATGTGACCAGCAAGACTGTAAAAGACCAGGAGGGTTTTCTAGTTGCCCAACATACACGACAGGGTGGGAAGAATTCTTCGGTAATCTGGCGGGATGGGTGTGGTATATGTCTTTTCTAAAAGAGCATCTGAATGGAACAGCTGAAGTTAAACGTGAATCTTTTCGTGGAGAGAGGTGAGAGGGCCATAAAAATTACGCATTCATGAGTTGTGTGTGAGCACGAGCTTGGACCTCTGGCAGATGAAAATCCGTGGAGACAGTGCCTGGATGCCTTCCCTGCACACAGTGAGTGTCATGAAAATCAGTCACTCATTTCTTGGAAAGTCTCACAAGGCTTGACTTTGCTACTCAGAAATGTTACCTTAAAGTCTCAAGGCAAGTTAAAGACTTGGGGAGTCTTCTCACTAACATAGGAGCAGGGCTGGGAGAAAAGCCATTTGTTCCAAAGCCTGTGGAAGCTGCTATAGACAAGATGGATCACAAAGCAGCACCATGTGAGAGACCAGCCGGAAGCCCATCCAGCGAGGACGGAGCTGGTGTTTCCTGCTCCCAGCCTAGTTCTAACTAGTTCAACCCTCCATGTCCTTCAGCTCAACAGCAGCTTAAGAGACACACAAACAGACCAGAAGCCTGTCTCACATAGCTTTTATCTTCTGGCTTAATGCAACAGCCCTCACAGCTTCAAAAACACCACCAGTTAGAAATAACAGGTGAACCGGGCCAGCACTGGCCTGTCAGGTGAGGTGGCAGACTGAAGTTCTAAGAGGAGAGCTCTCAGGGAACAGAGGAAGGGTGCGAGCTTGGGTATCAGCCAGACCCAGGTTGCAGTCCTGGCATCGGTAAAGAGCTACGTGAAAGTGGGCAGGTCACCTGACCTCTCAGAGGCTTAGTTTCTTTACTCATAAAATAGACAGAAATTCTTAACTTGTAAGCTCCAGCAATAGTACCGACACAGGTCGAACGCCTAGGGTGGGACTTGGCACATAATAAACACTCAGCAAACACGAGCTCGCACTGTGCACTGGTTCTGAAGCCATACGCTCTTTCATACATTTCCTCACTTAGAAATCTTGTTACCAGTTCCATGGTCAATTTGTTTCTCCTGTCAGTATAAGAGCATCGGTGATATGCAATCATTGTCAAATAAATTGAAGTAAAACAAACAAAAAGTGGTCATTGAAAAGTCCACAAAGTAGGGTCTTAGAAGAGTCACTCTCCCAAGCCAATATTTCAAGTCAAATACACTTTTTAAATTCATTGGTTACTATTGATGTGGTTATTGAGATGATGGGATAGTCAAAAATAGTGCGAAACAGGGTCTCAATTTTGGAAATTAAGCATCAGTAAAGAAATGCGCGGGCCCAGCCTGTGGCTACGGCAGCTGGCCAACCGTGTGATTTGAGTCCTGGACTTAAAGACTCGGAAAACACAGTGGGTACATGTGCATGCATGCCCACATTCCTGCGAGGAGAATGGAAGAGAAGGGATAATGGTGTGATCATCGCCCTGGAGGGTACTTTCTCACTTCTCCTCTCTCTCCCCTGCCCCCCCACCACAAACACATATGCCCTATAGCAAATTAAAAAGAGAGAGAGAGAAGAAAAATAAGAAATACTACTATCTGCTGCTCTGAAGAGAACAGTAATACTAAGAAAGAGTCATGAAATAAGGATTTAATAAAATGTATTTTAGTTTAAGGCAAAAAGGCCCTTCTGAGAAATTCAAGACTATCCACAATAATCGCTAGGTAGTCTGCCATCTGTGAGGTCGGCCCCCAGGGGAGTCTTTCTACAGAAGAATATGAATAAAGTGACTCATTCAAGATCAAATAGAACAAACTCAGGAAAGCAAATCTAATAGTCGGACAAAGCACTCCAAGTCTAAGTGCATTTTCAGATTCTAGGGTTAAACTGACTTCCTACAAGTTTCCCTGGAATGGCTCTGCATGTCCAGAGCTGCATGGATTTGAGCAGTACCTGCAAGTGCCCAGTAGGCGGTGCCCACACACTCATTCAGCAAGACAAAGGCCACCAGCGACATGCCTCCATTCATCATGCCCACCAGGAAGCGAGTTATTGCAAAGAACTCATATGAAGGGGAAAATCCATTTGCAATAGCAAATAAGATGTCAAGAGCAAAACCTAGAAAGAGAGGAACAATATTCAATAATCCAGAGGAAAACAACATTTGGCAAAAGGGCTAAGTTATATTCATTCATTTATAAAATAAGCCTTTGTAAACTTAAATTTCCTGAGCATTAAAGAAAAATTTTCTCCTAAAAATTCCTTCAAAAATTTTCTCTTGAAGAAAAGGGACGTGTTGGTTTCTGTCAATTGCACATACTTTGTAATTATTCACAATAATACTGGAAACTTGGGATCAGTAGATGGCATAATGGTTACATTGCTAAACTCCCACATAGTCAGACGCTGTGGCTTAAAATTCACACGGGGTGTGTGTGCGTGCGTGCCCAAAATCCCGAGAGGAGAATGGAGGAGAAGGGATTGTGGCGTGGTCAACCTCTCTGGGGAGTGATTTCTCACTTTCTGTCTCTCTGATTCTCTCTCGCGTGCGCAAGCACACATGCCCTATAGCAAAAACCTCTCTACAAATAATAATAATAATAATACTGGAAACTGTAACATCTACTCACACCTAACTTGTGAGGAGAACTATGCCAAGGCCTATAGACTCACTTGAAATAAATCGACACACAGAGATATAAGGAAATGGATCTAGTAGGCTGTCTCAAAATTTTATTGCTTTTCTTAGAAATAACGCATAAAGTGCAATTTGGGTGCTGCAGAAAGGGTCCTCCATGTAGCTTACAACACAAATATCTACAACACAAATATCTAGTCTTAACTAGGTGGGCTAGTTACTGAAAGCTGTTGGCTAGAATCGACTCTGACTGCACAGTGGCCTCTTGCCAGTGTAATAAAAATCAGTTCTACATCCACATGCCAATTCCCCAAGAACCTTAGGGAAATAAGTCTTGTTTTTCAGTTCATGAACATGCTAATCAAATACCTGTGAGATAGACTTTTTTCCTTCCAAAGCGATCCGAAAGCTGACCGAAAGAAATAACTCCAACAAACACACCACTGAAGAAAAAAGAGCTTGCGGCACTGACTTTGTATGATCTGTTGGCAATTAAAAACCACTGGAGGAAGAAAAGCAAAGGGGAGACATTAGGTCACAAAGAAGGGTTCAGTCAGCTATTCAAAAAACAAATGCAGGACCAGCAGTTGGCGTAATAGCTACGTAGCTGGACTCTCATGTAGTCGACTGTGGTTTGAGTCCCAGAACCGGCGGCTTAAACTCATTCCAGGCACATGTGTGTGCCCAAGATCCCAAGAGGAGAATGGAGGAGAAGGGACCATCCCCCTCCCGGGGGTGATTTCTCACTTTCTGTCTCTCTGTCTCTGTCTTTCTGGTGAGTGCACATGCCCTACAGCAAAAACCTTTCAAGGAAAAAAAAGAAAAACAAAGAAAAGAAAAACAAGGGAAAAAAATGTAAAGGGCCTACAAGTGGCATGGTGGTTGGGGTGCTGGACTTCCACATGGCAGAACACAGTTCAAGTCGTGGACCTGATGGCTTGCTTTTTCACTTTCCCTTTCTTTCTCTCTGTCTCTCTCTGGTCAAATTTAAAAATATTAATAACAAATAAAGTTAAATACATAAATAATTTTTTAAATGTACAACAAAAACATGTACACTGAAACTTTTTCATAGCATGACCCACTGTTAACCAGAATTTGGTACATCTCTTAAAAAGCCCAAGGAGATTTTATTTTCAAAAATGCTAGAAATCATTATTATTATAAGGTACTCCCATAATGCTCTATGCACCCTATTACAGAACTGAACACAGTGCATGGCAGTTTATTATTTACGCCATCATTGGCTATGTCCCTCATCCCGAGTGCCTACATTTCTTGAGAGGAAGATCCCCATCCCAGTCATTTCCATTTCTCTGACACCTAACATACTACATGTCATATATGAAGCAATACATGAACTATCTCTTTTGTTCAGTAGATTAATGAGCTTAAAATCCCTTGACTAGTTTCCTCAAAAAAATAGGATATCATGTGACCCAGCAATTCCATGTCTGGGTATTCATATCCAAAAGAACTGAAAGTAGGAGGCTGAAGAGATGTTTGCACAGCCATGTCCACAGTGGCACTATTTGAAATAGCCAGAAGTAGCACACCATGTCCATCAATGGATGACTAGCTAAGCAAAATGTGGTATACAGACAACGGAATAGTATTTGGCCTTAAAAAGGAGTGAAATTCTGATTAATGCTACAATATGAATGGACTTTGGAAACATTATGCGAAATCAAGTAAGTGAGACACAAGGATATATACGGGATGGTTGCACTTCTATGAGGTACCTGGAAAGGTCAACTCCACAGAGACAGAAAATGAGAAGAGCGGCTACCAGAGACTAGGGGCAACAGGGTGTTTGTATAACGGACACGGTTTCCGTTCAGAATGATAGAAGGAGTCCTGGATATGGATAATGGCGATGGCTGTAGAACGATATGAATGTACTAAATGCCTCTTAACTATACACTTCGACATGATCAAAACAAGACACATTATGTCATCTGTACTTACCACAATGACACAACTCCTTCAGTACTATTATCTTCTACTTTATGGCAACTGATGAACTTAAAGGGAAAGCAATCGTCCTCTGCTTAAAACACTAATATCTTGGGGCAGGCAGGTGGCATAGCAGTTAAGGGCGCTAGAATGCCACATGGCTGACTGTGGTTCAAGTCCCAGACCTGGTGGCTTGCTTTCTCACTTTCCTTCTTTCTCTCTCTCTCTTTCTCTCTCCCTCCCTCTCTGGTCAAATTTAAATAAATAAATAAATAAATAAATAAATAAATAAATAAATAAATAAAGTTAAATAGCAATCCCTTCTCCTCCATTCTCCTCTCAGGATCTTGGGCACGCATGCACACGCACCCGGCGTGAGTTTTAAGCCATCGGGTCCGGGACGCGAACCACAGTCGAATACATGGGAGTCCAGTGACATAGCTATTACTCCAACTGCTGGTCCCGTGATTTACTTCTGATTTCCCGTCACAGGCGGTTCTTGATAAGGTTAATGAACTGGCCTTCCTAGCCTTCTTGGATTTACTATCTCTACAGTAAATGGGGTGTTATTGCTCTTTAAGAAAATTATCAGATAAATTTATAGTATTGTCAACTGGACTGGTGAGAAATGTACACACGTTGGAATATTCACTTTATAACCTAAGTAACATGAGATGGAATGTATAAAAGAAATTGAAATAAAAAGAAATAAAAAAAAGACATTTGTGGGACACCAATATGGTTTATTATCTATTGATGAGGATGTGTATAGTATTCAACTGGGCTGGACTGAGGTGTGTATCATAAAAAGGGTAAAGTCTCTTTACAATCTAAAGGATCTACAGTGGTTGTGTGTGTAAGTAGTAGTAGTAATAATAATAATAACAATGACCCAAAAAAAGAAAATGATCAGGAAATGACTGCTCTTGGTGGCAGTCATGATTCCAGTAAAAGGAAGTGAAGGAAGTGATAGAACACAAAACTGAACAACTTTCAAGGCATTTTCTTCATTCAGATATTCAACAAGTATTTTTTTCATGAGAGAGAGAAAAAAAGAGTGTGAGAGAGAGACACAGGTTATTTTTGACAAGGTCTTGTGGTAGGCAGTTAGGTAGTCATGAGCGGGCAGCCCTAGGGGAAAAAAAGTGAAAGGGCATTTTGGTCAATGCCCTAATTCCCACTAGGGTGATAAACTGATTAGGCAGTCTAATTAAAACAACCTGGCTCACACTGGGCATGCGCAATTAAGTAATCAACTCTTCATTCTTTACCTGTGAGAAAAGTGCAGAAGTTCAGGAGAAAACGCCCAGATTCGAATTCAAACGAAGGACATAGGTAGTGTAACGGACCTCCCACCAATGAATATTCATGACCTCTAGTAATGAAAGTAATGGTTAACCAGTATCCAGTGCTGTTGCCACCTGTCAATCTGCCCGCCCAAGAGCCTTTTGGGTGTACTTTCCTTTTTTTCCTTTTAAATCTTCTTTTCTACCTACTTCATTCGTGGTTGCAGTTTCATTTTGCACCTAGGGACAGATCTCTAATTTTAGTGATCTGGACCCAAAGAACCAAGGACTTCACAACTAGCTCGACACCTCCCATCCGTTAGTCTTACCATGTCACGATTCTCCTACTCCAACCTCCCAGCTGGTTAAGATTATAGATGTGCATGACTGTTCCAGCCTGTCAGGTTGGACTAGGAACCGAACCTGAGCTCCCATGTGGCCTAGCCTTGTGCAGCAGTGCCCCATGCCCTCTGCCACCACAACCAAAACTGATCAGCATCTATTAGACTTTAGCAAAAGTCTAAACACTGAACTACAAGTAGAAGTTAGCTAGACATGGTGCCTGCCCTCTGCAGTTCTAAGTTCTAGTGTAGTAAGACAGATAATAAGCAAACCCAAAGAGAGAGACTGGGAGGGAGCCACCTTAAATAAGGTATTCAGGGAAGGTTTCTCTGAGATAATGTCCGTGACCTCCACAATGAAAAGTAGCCAACCATCAAGAGCTGTTTGGGGATCCTGATGGTAAGTGCCAAGGTGAAGACACGTCAGTGTGTCTCTAGTGGTAGTGGTCTGAATGAGGCCAGAGAGGAGGGCAGACATCAGCTCATGTCATGGTAAAGAGCTAAGTTTTATTCTAATGCAAAGAAAGGACACTTACTTTCTGGGTTCATGTTGCTGAAGACCAACACTGGCCACTCTGTGGGAAGGTATTACAACCAGAACAGGGACCATGGAAGCACCTGCAATAGTTGGGCAGATCATGATGGCTGGGGCTGGAAATGGTGGTGATGAAGAGACTTGTGTGAACCTGGGGTGTACTGTGAAGGCATGGTAAGATTTGCTGATGGAGAGAATGGGGTGGAGGGAGGTAGTGAAAGAGAGAGTCATCTGAGTTTTTAACATTAGCCACTCGGTGGGCGGTTGTGATATCTGTTGAGATGAAGAAGGCTACCAGGGGTGTCAGGCATGTGGTGGGAATTCATGAGTTCTGTTTAGATGCACTCTGATGGAGCATGCCTATGAAGGACGTGAGATGCCGAGCAGCATTTGTGTATGAGTCTTCAGAGAGAGGTTCTGAGGGTTTATGAAACTGTGTATCAAGAAAAAAGAGCTGGGGCCTAAGACACTTCCATATTCAGAGACCAAGTAGAAGACAGCCATTATAGAAAACTCAAAAAAAGAGAGCAAGAAAACAAGGGGGAGCATGGTGTCACAGACACCACAAGGGCAAATGTGATTCAGGAAGGAAGGAGTAGTCAAGTAGGCTGAATGCTGCAGTAAAGGTGAAGTAACATGAGAACAGAGACATGACAGCTAGGCTTGTAACAAAAATGGACCCTTAAAAATATAGATTTCGGCAGAGTGAGAATGAAGGCCAGATTGAAGGGCACTGAAGAATTGGAGAAGGCTGTGGAACTGCAGACACTGGATGTGTACAGATGAAGAAGTTCTGTTATGAAGGAGAGCCAAGAAATGGGCCGGTGTCTGGATGGGGGTTGTGGGCTCCAGGATTATCTGCATTTTTTAGAAATGGCATATATGGGACCAGCAGTTGACATATGGCTATGTTGCTGGACTCCCATGTAGGCGACCACAGTTCGAGTCCTTGACCCGGTGGCTGAACTCATGCCAGGGGCATGTTCATGTGTGCCCAATCCCAAGAGGAGAATGGAGAAGGGATGGTGGTGTGGCCATCCCCCCAGAGGGTGATTTCTCGCTTTCTGTCTCTGTTTTTCGGGCAAGTGCACGTGCCCTATAGCAAAAACCTCTCCAAAAAAAACAAAAGGAAATGGCATATACGTGTGTCTGGACGGGGGGTGTGGGCTCCAGAATTATCTGCATTTTTTAGAGATGGCATATACTTGAGCACGTGTGCACACACTGATGAGAGCAATCCAGTAGAGAAGACATACTTGTAGGAGAGGAGTACGCAAGAGAGTAAGAAGGAAAGGGCTTGAGTGTACAAAGTGCAGGTGAGCTTCCTCTAAAAGCAGAGAGACACACACACAGAGAGAGAGAGATAGGAAGAGAGAAAGAGGTA